GAGCGGCCTGGCCAAACTTTTTTACTGGGGGGGCAGTTTCTTTTCTCTAACACAAGGGTCCCTAGGGTACTGAGAAAACAGCTGCCCCAGACCCTGGCATCTCTCATCAGACCTGGGGGTGGGGTGGGGGAGGAAGGAACACCAGCACCTTCTTTGCCCACTCAGGCTCCTCCCCCCCCTGCACCAATCAGGCTTGGCACAGGTCCCAAGCAGCCACTCAGCACCTGTTTACAAGAACCAGTAGGAAATCATCATGGCCAAGTGGCTCTTTGCAAAGCTCCCTGCTCCTCCCCCCCCCCCAGGATTGCAGTCCAAAGGGGAAAGGAACGGCTCAGAGCTCCCAGAGCCACGTGTCCCAGTCCCTGCCAGCTCCTCCCTGCTTGGGCTCCTTCACATCCGGAATCTTAGGTGGAGAGCAAGGTCCTCAGGGCAGGGCCCATGCCTCTCTTTACAGGCCATGCACTACACACGAGCGCCCCATCTCCGTGCAAAGAATCCACACCCACCGTTGGATTCAGGCAGCAATGCAGCACAGCTACCCCGCAAGCAAAGGGAGGGGCATGCCCGCAGAGAACAGCTGAGCCTTGGCCCCACTCAGATGCCAGGCAGGAGTGTTACAAATACTAGTGCACTAGAGAATAGCAACCAGAGGGCATGAGGCTGCATTAGATCCTAGGCCAGGGAAGCTTTGCCACCCCCTTCCCACTTTTTAAATAAAGCAAGGGCTGTCCGGACCTCCTTCAGCTGCTATCGTAGCTTGTTTCTAATCTCAAACATGCTCTCATAGTTCTGTTAGCTGCCAGACCCTCACTTGGTCACACTAAGCCCAATCCATGCTGCACTGGCTAAGAGGGAGGGGTGGGAGCTCATATGAGGAGTAGTGAACAAGAACTTAAGGTAGGCCTTATTTTTCCCGGGGAGGTGGGTTAGTAACAGAGAGAGCACGGCTGAGAACTGAAGAGTTTCAAGTGGAATCCTTGCTGCTTGGAATGTTTGTCACACGTTTCCGTAAAGAAACCAGCGGAGGGTTAATTTGGCTTCTAACCAATGAGTTTGCAGCAGTAAAATGGAGCCTGTTCATAGAGGCCCACGCATTGCAGGGCTGGATAATGCTGACAAAGGCTACCGTACTTTACACCAGATTTCTTCCCATTCTTGGGTATACAGTGATGACACTCACAGCAAAGCTTAAATGTTCCCCCTCCATTAGACCCCAGGCTTTGAATGGCTTTTGCCAAGATCTCACTTCCACTACCCACGAGACTTCCTCAAACATTAAAAAAATGAGAGTCCTGTGGCACCTTAGAGAACAAAATAAAATTAGAGAGAGTATCATGGGCTTTTGTGGGCAAACCCCACTTCTTCAGAGGAGTTCCTCAACCATTGTACTTCCTGGCTTACATTTGACTGCCGCGAGAATAAACTCCTGGCCAGCAACTATAACTTTACGTAAAACAACATTGGATGGAATTAGTTGCACTGCCTGCTCCTTGTAAGGGTGTTGACCACTCCCAGAGACGGAAGAAAACAAAAGGTGCCATAAAAATAAACAATGCATGTAATTACAAGAAGGCTACTGAAGTGACAAAAACCCTGTTGTACATCAAATTCCTAATTAGCCAGAAGACCCTTCCCCAGTGTAAATTTCAGGCTTTATACTGTGGGACTCAAATCTTTGCTTGAAATTCCACCACCCAATTCCAATTCTCTTTTTAGGCTAGCATGGAGATGAGGGTCAGAGAGGAGACAGAAACCATTTGGGATTGTTTTAATTTTTGCAGCAGCACATTACGATACATATCTAGCAGCAAAGGGTGACGAGAGGATTAAATGCTTTCCTAGGTCTAATGTCAGAACATTCCAATGCTTTGTAAGAAATGGGGAGGGGGAGGGGGAGAGGAGAAATCAAGAACTTATACCATCTCTACAGCTCTTCAGAATACCCTTTGGTAAGCTCTCAGTGCTGTAACAAACCAAGATGCAGAGTTGCTGGCCAGAGCTTTCTGAACAGTGGAGGCACGACCTGGAAGCATTATCTCCAGTACAAGAACAATCCCCCACCCCTCCCACAACAGACTATCTACAGAGAGATTGCCTTAAGGATCATCTGTTATTGGCAATTAAACATCCTTGTGCCAACTGCAAGTATTTACATAGAAACCAGTATTAGGAGTGTTTAAATTCATTTACAAAAATGTACAAAACCACCTTCAAGTGGAGGCACCTTTGGCATGAGTTCCAAAAGCAGTCAACTAACTCTAGCACAAATTTAGTACCAAAATGAGTCAGTATTGGTGCGCCACAGAGGACTTTGGAAGGTCTGAGCCAATAACATACTTTCTTACAGAATAGCCCGTTCTTTCAGTCCCCCAACTCTACCCTTCTGACTGGTGTCTGAGTAATTCCATAATATACATTGTAATGGGTTAAAACACTTGTGCATATTTCTCTTCTGGGGGAGGGTGTAGGAAGAGTGTGTGGGGGAGGGTGAGAAGTAGCCCTCACCCTACTACACTGACCAAATCTTCCCTAGTATCATGCTCTCAGAAGCAGCAAAATAGAACAGGTACATATTTTGCTGAAAACTGGGACTTGGGAAACCAATGTCATTGTTTCTGGAGATCGCAAAAAGGCTGTAAAACCTTTAACCAGAGGCAGTACATTTGGCAATGACCATTTATTGTACGTTTCCCACTGTGCAGCTCTGGTAGTGGTTTTAAACATATCAATTCCCCAGTTTCAGGATCAATATAAATCTGACTGGGCAGATGACAATGTTCTGGGGTCTTTCTGTTGCAGCATTGTATTTCAAGGAACATGACTGCAGTTTCTAGAGCCAATGGTTGTCACCAGCCCAATTCCAGCTCATCCAGCTGTTGCATGAAATGTGACCCCTGGTTGTCTTGGCTAGGTAGTAGCAACACCACACACTGTGTACAAGAGAGGCCCAATGGGGTAGATATGACCGGTGCATTCAGATTTTTGTTGCCCCCCCACATGGGTTGTGTATGTGGGAGACAGAGCTGATTTTACATTAGCCACTCAGATGGTCTTGTTTCTCCAAAGAAGATGGAAAGGCCTGTCAGAATGAAATACGGTGCTGTAGGGTATTAGCAAGTTGGCTAACACAGAACTTGTAAGTTTGACAGAAATAGTAAAAGTCTCATTTTAGAAACAAGTCAATTGACCCATTCTGTTCAAAGCTCTAATCCCAGTTTGCTACTGTTAGCATCTTGGATGCTTTTAGGACAGAGGTGCCCTGTAAAGAGAACATTTAGCAGCCTGTAAAACTGAAGGGATCACTGACTACAAGGCAGCTTTCAATAATTACATTGGGTTGAATAGGTCACAGAGGCAGATAGATGCTCTGCAGTTCATGATAGCCATCTCCACATCGCTGAACCTTGCTAATGCCCTACAGTACCGTATTTCATTCTGACAGGCCTTTCCATCTCCAGCTCAAATCACAGCATCAAAGATCTTATTCCTCCTGTACATTTTGATCAACTGGAGAGACCCTTCATCAAACGAAACCCTAGACCAGATGGAACACTAGTGGATTTTCCCAGGATGCCCTCGGATGGAAAACTCACAGGTGCAGTCAGTGGAAGAGATTTATATCAAGGGGACTTGGTGATTATGTTACCATTTGAAAAGGTGGTTTAGAAACAAGCATCTTTTGCTGTATGCATCCAGTTCTCATGCCATTCTTGGTTAAGGACATCTCAGTCTCACTAGAATGAAATTGGAAATGCACCAGAGATTGATTTGAAGCAACTCCAGTCATAGCACATATGGACCTTATGAAAACTGAACACGTTAATACCAAAATCACATTTCGGATATACAGCAGTTCTTCAAAAGTGACAGTGATCTCTCACTCTCTTATATTACAGCTGTTGTGTTCAAACCTGATTTCAGCCTTTTCCTCACCAAGAAATTTGAAAGACAGATAGTTGATCACAGAGATTCTGCACATATCTTTAAATTAATTGGTGACGTGAAAAGTCTTCTCAAAAACCCGAATGTAGGCTTTACAGTTGACAGCAAAGGATATTTAAACTGAGTTCTAAAACCAAAGGCACTGAGGGGTTGTTTTTTTTAAAGCATTGAGTTATGAATACAGTACTACACATTTTGTCTTTTTGTGAAGGCACATGGCAGTGATCAATTAAAAAAATGCAATTTCTAAACAAAGGTCTTATTTTGAGCCCGGCAATAGAGAGGCATGTTAACATTTTCCTCTCACTGGAATTCTAAGAGTTTAACTGAGGCTTGAAGGATGTTGATGTTTTCACCAGGCCCATAGAAGTGAACCCTTTCTTCTTTCCAGTGGCATCATTCTAATTAGTAATAAATACGGTAATTCAGGGAACAGAAGGGGGCATTTTTACAGATTCAAATACCAACACATTTGCTGCTTGCTTAGCTCTGAAACAGCTGTACTAGATTGCAATCTGGGAATATTTAGAAAGAGGTGCTCGCATCAACTCTACTGTTTTAGTTCTTCAAAGCAAAAATGTGACTGGCTTATTCCTAAAATCTGCTACTCCTTGTACTGCAGAAGATGCCCCTTGAAGTACACCACGAGAAAAATGCCTTACTATAAAAATGGGAAATTTGCTGCTAGAAACAGGAGTCCAAAATTCATCCTAAACTATTGTTTTATCTTGAGCACCTGAATGCTCTTCTTTATCCCAATGATTACCAAATAAAGGCCACCCACCTGTTAACAAGGTGGTCAAACTGCTTCCACCACACGCAATGTCACTTTTGAAGAAAATAGTCTCCACAAGCAGGAAGCCCTGAAATGCCGCTTTTAATTTAAATAATTTCAAACAAAACTCAGTTTAGATCAAATTCCAGAGCCACTGCAGTCAAGGGTTTTTGCTACCAGCTTCCACTGGTATCAGGATGGCTCTTAATTCACAGTGAAAAATGCTTCTCATTACCATGTTAACTCTCCAACTGTTGAACAACATTGCTGTCACTTTAATAAAAAAGTGTCACTATGTCTTATTTAAATTACCAAAATCACTACAGTTACACTTTGTCTGTATTTCCTCTCATCATTCAGAAATGTTTATTAAAAAAAGCTTGCCTTTCTAACTGGCTTCCTCCTCTTACCAAACTTATTTATTTACCCCAAATTCAATGTATTGATAAGTCACTTCCATGGTGATATGCACGGAACTGTGTCATCACAGTATGAAACAGTTCATTTTAAAGCAAAAGCTTCAGTTTTAAAGAAATGTACCTTGGAGATCAGCAATGATACAAAAGGAAATACAGAATATAGGACAGGTTTTCTAAAATACATTTGTAAACATTAGCCAGAGCATGGCAATGGCTCTTTAACATAAATTGGAACCATGTTGACATGTGACAGCTTCATATATATCACATTTTAAAAAGTCAGTACCGGCTATGTATAGTGGCTATTTTTTAAGGTAATATACCTTTTTAAATATAAAAACATCTAGTTGGCATAACCTGACATAAAAAAAGCTCTTTTTTGCATCACCATCCTTATTAGCTCATCTCAAAACTTTCAAGTTCTACTTTTTTTTTTAAAAGGTTAAAACTGTTATAATTACATTCCGTAAATTTCAGCCGCCTAAAAATCTTTCATTTATCATTTTTGTCTGCTGCTGTTCTTATCGATACCCTGTTTATGTTCAGCTACTACTGCAAATTCCATCACATTGAATAAAGATTACTGAAAACTTTTTATTGTAATCAAAAAATGACATAACAGGGCTGTAATGTATTCTGCAAATCATTCTGCTGATATTTCAGAACTGATACCAGCTTTTTCTGCCAGGCAATTAAAAAAAATTCAAATGTGAAAATTTTCACAGTACAGTAAACTCCACCCAAACTAATTAACGGTGGTTAAAAATAAGATGCCTCAGCAAAACCTCTCATGTTACATGGTCACAACTCACAATTCTGTACAAAATGTTCACTTTATAAAGCTCTGATGTAAAAATCAAATAATCAAGCAGCAATATTTTAAGTGCAGCACAGGGTCTTTCATGTCATTATTTACAAAGCTTGAATTTGTTTACATTATAACAAAATTTAATACAGATGACTTAGTAATTAAGTCAATTTTTCTTATCTGTCATTTTATACAGCGACAGATTTCACTTTTTGGTCATCTTTCTCCTTCTCCTTTTCTTTATCTTTGCTCTTCTTGGATTTTTTCTTCTTGTGTTTGTGTTTTTGGCTTTTCTCCAATTCAGATTCATTCCCAGTGTGTTTCTTATGCTTCTTGTGTTTTTTATGCTTCTTGTGTTTCTTTTTGTCTTTTTTCTTCTTCTTTTTCTTGCTGTCCTGACTCTCTGCAGAACTTGCACTGCTGCTGTGGCTTCGAGTCTGACTTTCAGAAGGGCTTTGACTACGACTGCGGCTAACACTGGGACTACTTTGACTCTGAATTCTACTTACGCCAGGTTGGCCAAGCGTTGCTTTAACTGCAGTCTCTTTAGATTTATCCACTGCCTTTTCTTTCAGTTCTTTAGCATTTCTTCCCAGAGAGTCTTCATCTTTTGTTGACACATTACTTTCGCTGTCGCTTTCATTGTAGTCCGGTACAAATGCAGCCTCGTCCGTTTCTCTAGTTAAGTCAGAAGATAGCCGAGAGGAGTGGCTTAACTGAGGCTTAGGTTTGATGGTGCTCTTGTCGCTTTGCCCACTCGCATGCTCTCTCTCATTTTTTGCATCAGGTGATCCATGTTTGTAAGACGATTTATTGCCACTTGTGTCTCTGTCTTTATTGCTCTTTGTTTCAGATGTGTGTTTCTCTCTCTCTTTACCTGAACTTCTATCTAGAGATTTGTGTTCATCTGATGAACGTTTGGAATCATAAGCCGTTTTGTGGTCATACTGTCTTCTGTCCCTCTGAGGACTGTGGCCACTCCTTTTGGACTCAACAGTTCCCTTTTTGGACAATTCTGTACGTTCATCTCTTGGTTTACTCTTCTGGCCTGATGCAGAGTCTCTGTTTCGAGAAGGGGAGTCTTTTCTCCTTGTTAACTCATTCTTTTCATCTCTCCGCTTGAAACTGGAATGATCCCTGCTGCTATCATAGTCAGATTTTTTGTCCCTGCTAGGAGTAAAATCTCTGGCAGATGATCCACGCCCAGTATCATGTTTATCTGAAGATCTGCTGTCTTTGGAAGATTGAGAAAGGTTTTTTAGGTTTCCTTGTTCAGTTCCTCGTTCTGAGTGGCCTTTTTCTGGTTGAACACTGCTTTTCCTTCTCTCAGAAGTGTCCTTGTCTGACACAGAATGATCCCGGTCTTTGGTTTTCCCTTTTTCATTTGACACAGAAGTTTTTGAACTTTTTGCTTCATGCTGGGAACTCTCATAATTTGCTTCTTTTGCAGTTTTCTGTGTTTTTTCCAAAGGCTCATTTTCTTTTTCATTATGTTTCACAGGGTTTGTAGGCTTAGCACTGACATTTTTTACAACACTAGCAGGTTTTCCTACACTTGAAGGTGCTTGTGTAGATTTAATGTCTTCCTCTTCAGACTCAAAGTCATCTTTATCCCACTTTGATTGAGGAACCTGAATCATAATGATGACATCTTCAGCAGGGGCTGTTATATCATTATTATACTCTTCCATGGTCTTAATGACTGTTCGTTTGGTGTCTGGCTTTTCTTCAGACTTTCTAACAGGGCTGCCTCCAGTAGAGCTAGTGCTAAGACAGGAGTGGGGGGAGGGAGGGAAGAAGTAAAAAGACACATTTAACAACAACCTAAAATCCAGTTACAGCAGAATTATTTTTGTTAAAGTGAAACACTCTGTAAAGTGGTTTTTGTTTAATTTCACAATTTTAACTCTAAGCCTTTAATATTCCTTCTAAACAAATACATATTATAAAACCGGGCAAGAAGATGATCCCACAGGCTAAGAATTATGAGTAATAAATTAATAGAACATCTCCCTACTAATACATTTAATTAGTTTATGCGTGAGACCATCCGATTGGGGAATCGCTTATCTGATCATTCCTGTGCGTCATAGTTCCACTGGTACTAAACAAGTAACTTAGTTCCTCATCTCTTCAGCTGGCAGGTAAGTTTCTAATTTTCATCTGTCTGACTGATCCCCACCACCTTTTGTTACAATTTTTTCTAGCTATTGCATTTATTTTTAAAATGCCTCTTACAGTAACCTTAATTCCAAACTGCACAGTCTATTGCAGGAATAGGCAATAAAATGGCAACAACTCTCCAGAGTTAGCCCTGGCTGGGCTGTTGCCACTATATTTACCGGCACCTCCCCAGGTATGGGCCATCGCAGCTCCTATTGGCCAGGAAAGGCAAGCAGCAGCCAACAGGAGCTGTGATCCCTCATGCCTGCCAAGGTGCAGGTAAATACGGTGGCCTGGGGCCCTACCAGGGGCTAACTCTGGCAGACTGGATCTGGCCTACGGATCGGTATTTGCCCACCTCTTTTAGCAGTGGCCATATCTCATGGAACAAAGAATGAAAACATGTTCTTCCCAGCCCACACACAGACAGCTGGGCACTACTATAGATGAGGAGGTGATGGGGAGAAGCTGCAGCGTCAGGTGGTGTACCTCTGCATCCTCAACATTGGTTTCATGCGGAGTAAACTTCAGCTGAATTTGAGAATCTAGCTGAAAGCAGCTGCTCGTGTTCCATAAGAGATTTTTAACAGCTTAGATTATAGCTTAAGGAGTTGCTACTGGAAACATTAGTTCACAGCAAGCGGAGCATAAATCTACCTCCCACTAACCTGCCACAGACTAAGACCTGGTCTGTATGAGGAAATTAGGTTGGCACAACTACTTTGTTCAGTGGTGAGAGAATTCACACCCTGTGCAATCCAATTAAAGTGGCCTCACCCCAGGTGTAGAACCATGCTAGGTGAAAGGGAGAATTCTGCCAAGGGTCTAGCCACTGCCTCATGGGGATGTGAGTATATATGCAGATGTGAGAATTCTTATCAGCAAAGGTAGTATCTTCACTGAAGCTGTACTCTGTAGTATTGTCACTGTAGAAGTTTACCTGTAGACAAGTTTTAATTGTCCCATGCGTTAATGGTTAATTAATGTGCTTTGATCTAGATCCATTTCAAAGAGGATTAGATCAAAGTGCATTAACAAACCATTAAAGGGCCTCAGCAGGGTCAGACCCCAGCTTGCTGTAAACTGCAGGTTTGAGTAGACAAACCCACACAACAAGTGTTTGTTCTATAACATTACCATTGCATAACTGTGGTTCATACGCTCATTTTACTATAGATTTAATAGTTCCAGGAAACTCAAAAGGCTGTGTCTAGACTGGCCAGTTTTTCCCAAAAATCAGCCGCTTTTCCGGAAAAACTTGCCAGCTCTCTACGTTGACCACCTGAATTTCCGCAAAAGCACTGACTTCCTACTGTAAGAAATCAGTGCTTCTTGCGGAAATACTATTCTGCTCCCGTTCAGGCAAAAGTCCCTTTTCCGCAAAGCTTTTGCGCAAAAGGGCCAGTGTAGACAGCTCAGATTTGTTTTCCGCAAAAAAGCCCTGACCACGAATATGGTGATCGGGGCTTTTTTGCGGAAAAGCGCGTCTAGATTGGCACGGACGCTTTTCCGCAAAAAATGCTTTTGCGGAAAAGCATCCGTGCCAATCTAGACGCTCTGTTCCGAAAATGCTTTTAACAGAAAACTTTTCCGTTAAAAGCATTTCCGGAAAATCATGCCAATCTAGACGCAGCCCAAGATTTTAGTTTATGGGTAGCAGAAGAGACAAAACAAGGAAAGAGGAAATCAGAAGGTACCTGGTGTAATCTACAAGAGTTGAACTGGACCCATCAGCTGCTGTTACTTTTCTTCTCATTTTTCCTTTCACTTTTTCTTGTTTAACTTTGCTACTGGGTGGCTCTGGTTTCTCAGCGGGTTCTTTTGTAGGAGGTACATTTTCTCCACTTACAATCTTTTTGCCAGTTTCTCGGTTTAGTTTAATCTTTTTTGCTGGGGCAATCAGAGAAGCAGCTTTGTCTTTTTCAGGTGATCTCTCTGTTTTTTCACCATCAGGCTCAGATTTCCCCTTTGGTGATGGTTTCACTTCAACTTCTGTTTTAGAGGTTTTTAATGAAGTGGTTTCATGTTCCTTTTCCTCTGCCTTTCTCTTTCTTTTTTCAGGTTTTGTATCAGTAGGTTTGCTTTTTTCTATAGGTTTTTTGGACTTCTCTTCCTTGCTTGATGGCTTTTCTGGCTTGGATTCTTTTGGATGCTCTTTCTTTGCTTTTTCATCCTTGGCTGGTCTGGTTTCAGGATGCTCTTTTGTCACTTTTGGGTTAACTTTCCGTGGCGTGCCGAGCGCCTTCTCATCCTTTTGAGATGAAGTTGATTTAGTACTCTCTGTCTTTGGCAACTCCTCCTTTGTTTTTTTCACAGGAGGCTCAGTTCGAGGAGACTTTTCACGATCAGCCTCTGCTTTTTCTTGGGATGTTTTAGATGGTTTTACTAAGTTGTCTTTCTTAGTAGTGGCAGTTCCTTCTGTTTTCCGTTTTGTCTTGTCAACTTTTGCTTTAGGTTTATCTTTCTCTTTTTTCTCCTTTTCAGACACTAGTTTGAAAGCAATAGAATCTGCTTCCATAGGCTCATCTCTGACAGGTGTAGCATCATCCCTACTTGGGAGCATGAACAGTGAGTCAGTTTTAATTTCTTCCCCCCCACCAGGCTCTCTGGGCTTCCGTGAGCCTTCCAATAACTCAGCATTGGGAAAGCCTTCATTCTCTTCCCCTTTCCTTCGCTTTCTATGCTTTTTGTGTTTATTTCCTTTTCCATCTCCTGGTGGATTTTCAGCTTCCTTTTCCTTTGATTTTGTTGGATCTTTAATGTTGTGGCCTTCTCGGCCTGAAGGCTTTTCTGGATAACTGCTACCTATGTTGCGACTTCTATGGCTTTGTCCAGTAGCAAAATCCTCTCTACGACATCGAGCATATGGGGAATTCTCACGCCTGGATCCGGGTGGAACAAATCGATCTGGAGAAAAGTTCTCTCTATTCACTGGAGGTCTAGGCTGGGCTCCAGCAGCATAGCCCTTGTAAAACTTTTCGTACCACTCTCGATAGTTCCTTTCCCATTCTCTGTATCTTTCCTTTTCAAATGGATCTCTAAAATCAACAGGTCTCCCATAGTATGCTTTCAAGTCATATGGTGGAACTTCTCTATAACGGTTAAAATATTCTCTCTCCCCCTCCGTTTGAGGTACAGTCCGCTTGGTGGGGGATTGGCCTCTGAAAACTGGAGATCTCGATCGAGAATGGTATCTTCTATATGGGGGTGACCTTGATCGCGAACGATGATATCCATGGGACCTGGACCTAGAACGATAGTTACGACTCTTCCCCCTGCCTCTTCTTGGATACGGAGGTGATCGTGAGTATGAACGAGAATGTGAGCGACTAAACGATCGAGAGTAGGAACGGGAGCGGGATGAACCTGACCTTGACTTGGAGTAGGTATATGAACTTCTTGAATAAGATGAAGCACTATAGGGTGACTTGGACCTTTAAAAACAAAAACACATTTTTACTGTAAAATAGCCTCTTCACTCTGCTTTACAAAACCAAACCAACCCATCCACCAAAAACTATTGTTCCCTTTTCTATATTTTGTTACCAAAAGCACTGTAGGCAGGTAACACAGTCATAATGCAAATTCTTACAAGCAACTGGTTCTGTAAAAACATCTCTATGCAGGACATGAAAAAGTTGTTCTTTTGTTTCAGCTAGTATAACAATTTGTGCAGGAAGACTACAGGCCCATGGACTAGTCCCATCACTCATTTCTATCATATTAACTACCCATGTTTGTTAACAGAGTTAAGGTGGTATATAGTGGCCTCTGCTGGTATATCAAAGCACAGGCAAATACTTCTCTTTCACTACTCAGCAAATCAGTCTATACAGACCATTTATGTTACAACATAATGCTAAAAGGGCAAGTCTCAATGACTGAAGTGCAGAGCCAAGAATTAGAAAGTGCAGAACCAAGCATTAGAAGACCGTGATTTAACATGAAGATATAAAACTAAATCATAATGAAATGCCAGCTCAGTCAGTTAATTTCACTTTACTGTTGATTTGCTAATTTGCGTAGTGTGCATAAGATTCTGTACTGCAACATGACATACAGTATTATTTAACTAATGCTTTCAGCTAGGCCTCCTCACAGCAAATAAGTACAAACGAGGAAGCTTAAGAACAGTGACCATGTTTCAAGTAAAATCACATCAAAAAGCTTCTAGCTTCCAACTTGTAACTTTTAGTAATACTACAAAGGAACCAGTATTGCTATCAGTACTGTGATCTGTATGGTGTTATTAATGAAGAATTATCCAGATCAACGCTGCAGAACAGATCTGTACTATTAGGGTAAAAAGCTTTTTGCGAATTTCAGGACCCTAAGGATGTCTCTTGGTAGAAACTTTAAAAAGACAGCATGCTAAATTAGGTATTACTTTCATTAGTTCCTTGTGCATTATTAGCTCTTCAACCATAATTTAACATAAATGTTTTAAAAAATATTAAATACAACAGCCAATGCACTTTTTCTCAAGTTGAATGAAGTAAAGTGATCATAATGCTAGTGAAAGGCACCAGATACATAGTCCTGGAAGTTCAACTCTTCCAAAGTATTGAAGATTAGATGACACACAAGGCAGGTGTAGGGGAGTCTTTCCACATTTTTTTTTTTAAACCAAACATACCACACACATCACCTACGGGATCACTTAGGGAATTCAGTACGTATACATTATTCAGTTTTTAGCCTGTGATAAGATTATCCAACAAGGGTGTCATTATAGATGTAGGGATTTCTCTCAACCAAACCCGATTAAGGGTGTGTCTAAACTACACCCCTCTGCCAACAGAGGGATGTAGATTAGGCTCATCGCTATTGTAAATGAAGCGAGGATTTAAATATTCCATGCTTCATTTGAATAAAAATGGCCATTGCTTTTTTCCGCCGCAGCACTTTGCCGGCAGAAAGTGGCAGTCTAGACAGGGATTGGTAGACAAGGAAAGCCTAAACCTCGTTGCACAAGGCATAAGGGATCGGTCAGAAAAGGCTTTCCTTGTCTACCAATCCCTGTCTAGACTGCCACTTTCTGCCGGCAAAGTGCTGCGGCGGAAAAAAGCAATGGCCATTTTTATTCAAATGAAGCATGGGATAGTTAAATACCCGCTTCATTGGCAATAGCGATGTGCCTAATCTACATCCCTCTGTCGGCAGAGGGGTTCAGTTTAGACACACCCTCACTCATAATTTCAGAGGGGTCAAACTGCTGCAGGGTAATAATTCCCATTCAATCACAACCTGACCTAAATTTGAGCCAATGATCTAACCAGGAAACTTGTATTATAATGCTAATTGCTCTAAAGTGGGGGCGGAGAAGGGGGGTGGACTAGAACTCTTTAAATCTGCTAGATTTGGCTCTCCATTAGACATGTAAAACAATTACCTGGAAAATGAGCGTCTACGTTCCTTTTGAATCTTCTTGTATTCCATTAATTCCTTTGCAAAATCATTTGTGAACTCATCAAGTTTGGACTTTTTCTTTTCTCTGTTAAAATAAAATTATGATAGTTTGAACATATACACAAAAGACAAATAAATAAACAAATACATACATACATACTAAAACATGCATGCAAACACAAAAATCCTATTTTTATGAAAAACGCTAATATTTCTTATGAGTTTCATTGCAAACTTTAGAATTACAGTTGTTTTGTTTTAGTTTTGTAGACTCCCAACCTCGTAATGCAAAGCACATTGGAAAAATTGCTTTTTATGTCTCTTTTGCTTATGGCAGATGCACTTCAGTGTAATTGCTGTCCAATATGCTACTGAAATAGAATAATGAAAAATAACGCAACTTCATTCAGAACCAAATACTTACTCCTCTTTAAGTCTCCGCTGCTCTCTGTAAAACTCCTCCCTAGATAAAGGAGGTGCTTGTGTCGTTGGGATGGCATTTGAATGAGCCGTTGGTACTGCTGTTGGTACCCAAGGTGTTGATATGTTTGCAGGAGCTGGGGGGTATCCCGGTGGGGGGACATTATACCCAGCAGGTGGAGGCTGACCAGGTGGAAACTGAGGAGGAAACTGTGGTGGAGGTACCCCCGGTGGAAGAGGAAGTGCATGGGGAGGTGGAGGAAACAGGGGAGGTGGAGGCACAGTCACAAAGACAGGTGTTGATGCTGGTAATGTTGGGCCCTGAGTCCTTTGTGTACGTTCACTATGCGGGCGTCCTCGATTTGAACTTCTAAAGAAACCCAAAAACACGTGTCACTGATTGTTACACTCTGCCTTTATTTTAAAAGAGGAAAGTGAATGAAGCTGGTGTCCCTCTGTGGACATTTCCTGTCCTGGTCATCACGTTAAGTCTCTTCAACGCCAGCCTATTTGTCTGCTCATTTCTTCCTATACTCTTCTCACTCCTGACTCTCCCCCTTCATAGTCTCACCCCCAGCTGTTCCCTTAATCTTCTTTCCTCACTCTTCATTTTGCAATTTTGGACAGATGCTCCCTATTTTAACAACATTCTCCCACTTTGAACGTACCAAATGCCCACTGCTCCTCTGCCAATCTCTGACATTTAATACTTTGCACTTTGAGCACATCTCATCTTCAATGCCTGAACAAACGTAACTAATCTTCTCTTGAACTTCTTTAAACTTCTTTCTTAGAACCTTCCTATGCTGTTGATCACACAATGCGGCATC